CTGAGACAGTTGTGTTACCTTGACATCTTCTTGTAATTATATATTTAATATTAATAATATTATTAATGATTATGCAAAACAAAATACAAGAATCTTATAATTACCCAAGACACTACAAGTTCTGCTCCATGGTTTGTTTTTTCAACATTTATATAAAATAAAAGGCACGTGTCAAGACATTTATAAATCAACCAATAACTAAAAAATACAAATAAAAAAATTGTAGATCTCTTGCTATTAATAAACAACAAGTTGTATTCTTATAATAACCATACCAAACAACATCACTTGCATTTGTTTCCAAAAAAAATAACAAAAGCGGTTCCTTGTATAACCATACACATAGATTGTGTTTATGTATCACAAGATTTTTTTTTATATAAATTCATTACTTTTTAAAAAAATACTTATATTTAAAATTTTTGTGGAGAGTCTGCACAGTTTATAGGGTTGTACACACGAATTTTATACACTGTCTATCTGTAGAATAACTATAGTAATGATAAAACTAGCAGTAAGTATATTATTAGTAGCATCATTATATTTAATATCAAATTTAATGATTTCTAAAATAATTGACCAATTTAGTTTTGAATAAAAGAAACTCTAAAAATATATGATCTAATAAAAAAAACAACAAAAATAAACTACAAGCACATTTCTCAATACCAGAAGAACTATTCAGATGAAACCAAATTATTATCAGAAAAATATGAATGATTTTAAATGTTTATTAAAAACTCATTATCAACTGTCAGTATATACCAGGGTTGGCAAATGTATGGTCCATTGGTGGTCTATTGGTGATCCATTGGTTCCATCAGTGTAGCATTTTAGCCATATTTAGTAATTTATTAATGACAATGGACTGGTACAAAGTCCATCAGCTCTTAATGGGCCAGTCAATTTGCCAACTCTGGTATATACTACTTTAATTAATAACTACATTAGTATCTTTAATTAATTTGGTAGTTATAAAAATTTTATTATTTTATATACAGTGAACCCTCCATAAGTGCACCCCCCTTGGGAATGGATGAGAGCGTGCATTTATGGAGGGATGCATTTATAGAGAGGAAGAATTTTATTGGTTACACGTGGTACTAATAAAAATTATTGTTGTACAATTTTAAATATTTTTTTAATTACTATTATTATTAGATATTAAATATTATTGTTGAATAAAAAATTGTTTCATTGTGGTTTGCTTCATTGAATTTTTTTTTTAAATCAATGTACCACTCAAGGGCATTAATTTGTCCTAATTGTTCTTAGAATTTTCTTATTTTATTTTTGATTACTCTTATTAAACATAAATTTTTTAAAAAAATTCGTGATCTTCATATATATAATTTTCTCCATTTGTATTATTATTATTATTATTCTAATAACTCTTTGTCAATTAAAAAGAAAGAATTAATAAACATTCATTTAATCCTTTATAAGCAACAGTAGCTTACCCTTTATTTTCCATTACTAATATTAAATAACGTTTGAATTAATTAATGTAACACGAATTTATTTAGGAAATAAATTACATGAAAGTCACGGGCGTGCATTTAGATAGGGTGGTTTTATATGAACGGGATGGGGGAAGACCGCGCAATGCAGAGTATGGAGGATGTGCATTTATCTTTAATTCCCGAGGTTGGGAATGAGACATAGCATGAATGCATTTATGGAGGGATGCATTTATAGAGGGTGCACTTATGGAGGGTTCACTGTATCACATGAAAAAATAGTTGGTAATAATTGCCAAAAATAACTTTGGCTAGTTTGCTTTTACTAGGCTTGTAATTTTAATAATGTTCATATTAATATTAATATTCACTTAGTCTGTTGTGTAGCAGTATGTCCATATAATAAATTTTTTTATGTTTGATGATTTTAAATAATAATAATACTTAATAAAATACTTAATATAATACAAAAAAATCAAAATGCTAATTAATATCAATTATTTACTGAAAAAACTAGTGATGTGTATTTGTATTGAATTTTGAATGCTATATGATTCTATTTTTTTCCCAATGATTTTAAAGCTTTTAATTCATTATAATCTGCTTGTATATTATTTTGTCCAAGAAAAATAAAAGCAGTTTCAAAAGCTTTTACAGCTTTATTTATCGAACATTAGGAATAGTTGTACTACTTACAATTCAATTTCCTCAAAAGAATTAAGAATTTCCTCTTCAGTTGACATTTCATTATTCTTATAATTATCAATTGATATACAGTGCATGAAAAAGTTTTCAGAATGTAATTTTTATTTATTGTGAAATGAAAAAAAGCTAACAGCACATGAAAATTTATAGATATGCTCTTTACGATTTGATAAATAAGTTTACTTAAAACTACTTAGTAGCTTACCTTATTATCATTTTTCTCAATCACTTCATTTAACCTTGACAGCACATTATAGATTAAATTAACAAAAATTTTTTTGTTGATCCACTCCCCATTCTTTCTGAATTATTTTACAAAAACTTTCTGCAATAACTGACTTTTTTAAATTAACACTTAATTGGCTTGCTCTTCAACATGTCCCTTAAAAATTTGCCACAAATTCTCAATTGGATTGAGATCTGGGCTATTTGATGGCCAATCCAACATTTTTGACAGTGTTGTGCAAGAAGTTTTTAGTACCCCTGGCTGTATGCTTAGGGTCGTTATCTTGTTGAAAGATTCAATGTTTTCCCATGACATTGTTTGCATTGTCAAGTAGATTTTCAGTTAAAATCTTTCAAAAGAAAGTTGTGTTTATTTAAAACACATTTTATTATGAAAATTTTTTTCATGCACTGTATATTCTTCTGTTGTTAATGCTGAACTGAAATTTAATCTATCAATTAAATTATCAACATCATTTTTTTGATCATTTATAATATTTTGTATTAATGTTATTGCATCTCCAACTTGTTCTTCATAATCTAAAGGAATAATACCAATTTTTATCCAGCAATTATTAACAGCGATTGATGTAACATTTTTCCAGGCTTCTGAGGCAAAATTTATTGCTTTTTTAATCATTTTGTTTCTATTAAAAACTTTAATCTTCTTGCAATAAATAATTTCTATAAATACATATAAATGATTTAATATATTTGATATAAATAATTTAATAAATAATTTAATAATTTGAAATATATACCTTAAAAGTATGAATTATCCCTGCATCACATAGTTGCAAGTGTGCAGTTGTGTTTGAGGAAAATGATGAATTATTACATTCTTAACTCGAAATTATCTGCTAAAATGTGTTGATGCATGCAGTGAATTAATATTAATATTAATATTACAATTAATGAAATCAAGGAGCAAAAACAAAAATCTGTTGGAACGAGGGTTTGACTGTATTGTTTTTGAAGCTTGAGGGGAAAATATCTTATGCAAAATGGGTATGGCTTCTAAGTCAAAATTTTCTATGTGAGGAGTTACATACAGAAATTATGTTAAATCAAAATTGCTTTTTTCACAACATGGTCCATTCTATTGAAAACTCCCATATGACAATTTTTAGTTAAAAAACCTGTAAATGTATCTGTAATTTGTAATTCTGTAATTCTGTAATTTTATTATTGTTATTCCTGTATATACAGTGTTTAGAACTTTTGCACATTTGAAGTTTACAGAATGATTTACATATTACAGAGACTTGCGGATTTTGACACTTGGTTGTAAATAGTATGACAATTCCAGTTGCTAGATACAACTTCTGTAAATCAGATTTACAAATGGCATCACTGGAGCTAACAAATTATAAGTTTAAATTTATAGTAGAAATATAAATAAAATCATTTTAATTCATGAAGCTTCAAAAATCCAAATTGCATAAAAAAGGAAAAATACACTACCCTGATTTCGATTATTTATTTTCTTAGAATAATATTTCTTGTGTTCCATTTGTATATGTTCAATTGGACAAATGGTCCAACACTTGGACTCAAAGCCATTTTAAGTATTGCCTGTTGTATAATATTGCTGCTTCTGGAACAGATCACATATTTTTACTATATAGACTTTTTATATCATTATAGCCACAAGGTGTTCCAGAGGCTAATTTCAACATAATTAAGTTTTATACCATAGTATACTAAATTTTTTTCTAGCCGCATAGAAATGCGGTGTGAAACATGTTCCAGGCCACATCAAAGGAACAAAAATTCGTCATAGTATTTACTGTATAAACATATATATGAACAAATCTCTGTAATCATTTTTTGTGAGCATAGCAAGAAAGTCAGCAGAACTAAGTGGAGCATAAGGAAAACAAGGTACAGAGAACAAAGTGAAAATAAAAGAAGTATGCAAGGTATTAAGAAAACAAAATTCAGTACACAAATAGACATAGAACAAAGTGAAAACAATCTGCATAGCAAAGCAGAGTAGTTTATATCAAAACAAGAAAACCAATAAATCAATAAAAATTTTCAAATTAAACATTTCTACAATCTATATAAAGTAAACCAAAAATTTTTGAATATATTGACCAAGCATTTAACTATATTAGCAATGCACTAAAATCCCTTGATGATAGTAGAGCCCCATTTGAAACTGGTGATCTAGTAGAGGCCAAAGAAGAAATCAAGTATGTAGAGGTGAAAACACCAGAGTTAACTACTCCAAAGAGGCCAAGAGCTAAAGCTATTTCATCTGGGAAATATGCTAAAAATAAGGGGACACAATATCCCAAAATACAATGAATTGAAGTATTGTAATTATAACCCTGAGAGCAAGTATTATCAGGGTTGGGGATCGTACATGCACACATGCACATATCGTATGTATGAGCTTAAAATTTTTTTAGTACATTGTACGAACATATCATGTGATTTATGATAATTTTTATTGGTTGATCAAATGTAATATATATATTTTGGTAGTTTGTATAATCCACGAAAATTTGAAATCATCAAGAACCTTCTCCGAAAGATTCCAAAAATCATTTGTACCAAATAATCCAGTAATGTTAAATGTGGTGGCTAGTATAGTTAAAAAAAATGGGTGGTGCTGGTAATTATATTTCATCTCATGCTAGAGGTGGTGACAACACTTTTGCAGCAAAAGGTAAAGAACATCTTACTGATTTAGTTAGGTGAATTGATAAAAAATATCCAGAAATTTCACCATATTTAATATCTTTGAAGAATATATGTCCACCTATTGAGAAGAATGAAACCACAAAGAGAAAAAATTTATATGTGGCCAGTGATATTAATAGAGAATATGAATCCATGAAAGTGTTTCTGGATAAATTTCCTTGTCTAAAAATGCTTTCTGATTTCGAAGATCAGCTTGAACCTTATGAAAGTCTCATAAACCCTGTAGATAATAAAGTAATGAGTCACTTTTTAATACCTTTAACTGATCTTATGGTAGCTGCTAATGGCTATGATGTATTTACAATTGATATCAGTACTTATGGTATTTATTTAAAAAGATAGAATGCACTCCTAAAAAAGAAAATGATGAAAGATTAACATTATTATTAGTTTAGTATATTAGGGTTTTAAGAACAAATAAAAAAAAATTACATTATTAACGAAAAAATATGATGAATTTAATTTAGTACAACGTATTTAATTAACATTAAAAAGGAGGAAGGTTTAAAGAAGGAATTTTTCGAAAAAAAACGAAATTTTAAAGGTTACGAAAATGATTGCGTTGTGTGTACGTAGTGCAGCTTAACATTAACGTCAATGTTGATATTGATATTAATATGTAATGTTAACGTTAAGTTAAGCATTGCAAATTTTTTTCTAAATGAATAGAAGTTTATTTATAAGATGTGAATCAAAAGGAAGCTTGACCTGGTTGGCTTAGCTTATAGCTATTGACCCATTATTTTTTATTGCGACAATAGTTATTCATGCTCGTTATGAAATATTCATGTTCGTTCATACTGGCTAGACCAATTTATTTATAAAATCCTAAAATGGCTAATTGAATTATAGTGCAAGTCACTTAGTCCCACAACTTTCTGCGCCACACCGCCAATTTTGGGAAAAATTCCCAATCAAAAATG